AGCAATAGAAGGAGCTTTTCCACAATAAATTCTTAGGTGATGATACAAGCAGGTTTTATTTTTATATGATTTTCCACACTTCTTGCATGTATGATAACCTAAAATAATTTTTTTTAATAAAAATACAAACAAAATATTATAAATAGGTAGCAATTTTTGGTTTCTATAATTTTTATATTATTATATTAGGTGGTACATAATGTTGTTGCAAACTGGACCTCAAATTTGTTAAAACTCGCCTATTTGGCATATAACGTATATTTCATGGCGTTCCCCTTTGGAGATACTTTAAAAAAAATCGGTTTACAACCACAAAACAGGCGCGATAGTCCAAGTATGAAAATATATTTAAAAATGGATACTATTAACACCAAAACAAAACACAAAGTGCTTAAAGGACTTTTCGCCAACGATGTTCTCATCTTCAGAGCGAAGTGTAACCAAATCTAAATAATCTAATAATAAATCTACCATATTTATACTAATTATAAGCTAAGGTTGACTGAACCGTAAACAGACACAGTTTACTAAACGGTGAACCGTAATCGTAAATACGTAAAGAGAAACTAACAAATTAATTTACACAAACTAGAGTTGGGTTGCGGACCGTTATCGCTATTTAAAGATTTCTATTCTTATAGATGTATAAACTTTTATTATATCTAGCAGACTTGGTTTCCTAACTTCCATAATAAGTTTAAGGTTGTCAAATCCTATTATATAACCATCATCAAGTATATGTTGGGCAACACTCGATTTCTCTGTCCTACCAAATCTAGCATGGGCCAAGTGCTCTTTAAACCTAACTTGGATGGATCGTTTAGTTTGTCCAACATATTTCCTGTCACAATCTTGACAGTTTATTTCGTAGATCCCCGACTTTTCAATGTTAGGAATCTTATCTTTGGGGTTGCCTAAAATGGTCTGAAGTGTGTTGCTGCTTGAACTAAAAGCAATTTAAGTCCAGTTTTCGAAAAATCCTTTCCAGACCTTGGTTCAAAAGGAATAGTCATAAACTTGACTTTTGTGGGCTCTGTTTAAAAAGTTGTTAACCTAGAAAGGCGAGACTTACATATAACTTTATTTATTAACTTATCTACTAGGGTGGGTTCAAAACCATTGTCTCTAGGAATCTGTTTTATAAAACTGAGCACTTTCTTGTATCTACTGTTACTAAGTTGAAAGTTTATCAACCTACGAACAAGTTAAAACTAAAGTAAAAAAGGAGGTAGACAAGAATAAGTCAATAGTTTTAAAACTATATGAAGACTGGTGGATTTATTGTGGAATCTAAGAACTTTATTTGTTAACGAAATTTTGGAGACAGACCTTGCAAAATTCTAAAGTACCAAGTTTGCGTAAAAGTTTCTTCCAAGAACTCATCGATGCAGCTGCTTCGTCAAAATGTTGAAAATAAAAAAGGTTTACTGGATGCTGATTCTGCGTTAGCCCTGTAGATACCAATATAGAGTCATTAGGAAGGCAATAAAATAAAAAGGCCACAATATATTCCCAAGCTATGACTGATATACTGGAAGCTACGAAGAAATGTTATCCGAAGAACATTTATATTACGGAAACTTTGGCAAAAGCAACAAAAATTTCAAATTACCTGGACAGAAAAAAATGTTCTTCACACATAGTAATGGGGAATAGATGGGGATACACATTTGTAAGAATATGCGTTTATCCTCAACGAACTATTGTCGAGCCCTGCATTGAAGTAAACCCCCAAACTGACGAGCTTGAGAGAAGTTTTTGCTAAAATCAAGGCAATTTACCTATCCAAGACCTTGATAACGTCCAGCACGAACTACATTTTACCATGATCGACGGCAAGGTTACTTGTGGCCATCGATACATCGTCACCAAGTAACTGCATTCTGTGTGGAGCTAAACCTTCTCAAAGTAATGATTTGTCAAGGATGGGTGGCTCGATTTCAAACGAAGAGGCTTTTAAGCTATGGATGTCAGTAGTACATGCACGAATCACCTTTTCCCTTCCCATACGCTGAACCTATCTCCAGACAAAATTTCTGGGCACGCCACTATTATTAATATCATAATTATTATTATTGTTAATATTGTTATTATCAAGATGTCACCCATTTCACTTTTAAATTAACTGGGTATTTTTTTTAAATTAAACCTAAAAGGGGGGGTTTAATCAATAAATTTCAAAAATGATATTCTTTTTTAAAGGGTTTTTACATAATGAAGAATTTTAATATTTTTTATTAGTTATAAGTAAGTAAGTCTTGGTTTAAGCGAGACTCTCGCCAAAATACTTTTAACTAACTGATTACCTAATTACACAAATAACTATTATTATAGGGAGTTTCATTAAAATTTTAAAATATTAAATAGCCATTATTCAGGAACTTAAACCAGATTGTAATTTTCCAGTAATTACGTCAATGTGTCTAATTTGTATGTGTAAATCAAAATTTATCCCTTGAAAATAGACTAACAAACGTTTAAATCATGATATAGAAGTAGTTTTTCACAGTGAAAGTAAAGAGAATGTCTCCTCCCGAAATTTTAAATGCTTTCAGTTAAATCTAGTTTACTGCCGGCAAAATCAAAAGGTGAGTACAAACTTGCATAAAAACTTTTTAAATATGTATTGGCGTTGAGAAACTACTTTATACTTTTTATATTTGTATTAAGATAGTAAAATAATGTCCACATTATTATTTCACAAAAAGGGCACTTTATTTTAACGACGGTGGACGAGTGGTTAGTGCTGCTGACTACAAGCCGGAGGTCGTGGGTTCGAATCCCACCAGGGGTATGGCTGTTTATTTGTGTTTGTCCTATTGTGTAATAGTCCTTCGGAGGGGACTTTAGGCCCGCGGTCCCCTAACCCGCACAAGCCATTCAGTTGGCTTATGGGACTTCTTAAGAAGTAAGGGTGGAACTAAAAGAGAACTTTTGTATATAAACTTTTTTTGTAAACTTTTGATTGTATGCCATTTTACAACTGTCAACTAACTTAAAACTTCAGCCCGTGACTAAAAACCTGTTGCTAACTTCAGCCCTTGACCTAAACGTTATAAAGCCGCAACTTATCAATGTGTATTTAAAAGATTACTTAGTGTCATAGAAACATGTACGATAATGAGCGTTTTAAAGGTGGGAGTATAAAAAATATATAATATATTTATATTAAAATTGTGGCAATTTATACAATATTTAAAATAAAAATAACATCGAAAACAAATGATTTATTACCGTAAAATTTGTGTAACATTAACATAAAACATTATTAAAATATATAATATTTTATAAATTAGAGGTACATTTTCTAAGTATAAAATAAATACCTTATTAAAAAGTAATAATTTTTCAAATTGAATTTTCTATTTACATTAAATTGGCTTTATGGTTTACTCCCAAAGTGAGCCTTGTGTGTGACACCTTACATGCCTGAGTAAATCGTTCTTGTAATAAAATTTTTTCTCACAATATTCGCAATGAAAAGTTTCTTCTTTCCCACATCGTACTCTAATATGTCTTGTTAAATTTGTTTTTCGATTATACGTTTTTCCACATTTAGGACATTTATAGCAATATTCACCTAAAATAGTTAAAATATATTATTTAATAATTAATAAGGCAATGTAATGTAATAAACAGGGTTAAGTCATAAATAATATTAAAATAAATGTAATCTATTACCGCATTGTTTAAAAAGATAATTTAATTTTACTGTAGGTACTGTATTAATTAATACTTTTGGCCTAAAATATTTAAATATTTTTTTAAATTTAATTATAAAGAATATTACACACTAAAGTAATAGTATAATGTGCAACAAGTGGGAACTCATTTGATGACACAAGAGTGAAGCGAGCTGGCAAGAATACAAATTCATAATCGAGCATTCCTCACGAGTTTATCGTATTATTTTGTCCCAAACATAACATTTCATGAACGAATTATAGTGTGAAATAAAGCCTGGTTCATATAGATGCGACATGCGAATTTGCGAAATGCGAAAATGTTTTCATTGGTCCATTTGATTTGGCGGGAAAAGTGTTTCGACGTTTCGACAGATTCTGCGAATTCGCAAGATTTGAAATCTGGGGGGCGGGAATCTTGAGATTGATCCAATATTTTGCGAAAATCGCACGAATTTGGCGTGATGCGCATGCGCATTAATGCAGATGTCTATTATACGTATTTGTTATATGTACCCGCGCCATTTTTGTTTATGTTCTGTGTTTATTTCATTTGTATTGCATCGTTGTTGAGTTTTATTTGAAATGTTTCTTGCTAAAGTTGTTTTTTGTTCTTTATAATGGACAAAGAGTTTTTGGAGGTACATTAGTTTCTTATTTTACCTTATAGTAGCATATTTTTTTACAAGTAACTTTACTATTTTATTACCTACCTATAGAAAATGTTAACCAAGTATGGCAAATATCACCTGGAGAGAAAATAATGTCCCTAAAATACCATGACAAATATCGCCTAGTGAGAAAACAATCTCCCTAAAATGGTTCCGACAATTCGCATCTATATGAATAGGAGCTGCGAAATGCGAATATTCGTATTTCGCAAATTCGTAAATTCGCAAATTCGCATCTATATGAACTCGGCTTAACCTAAGCGGTATAATTGACAGATGTTTTTATTTTGAAGTTAAGTTTTTTAAATTTGTTTTCTATGCATCTTTTGTATTATTTGCCTTTAAAATTTAATTGTGAATTATTTAATTTTAATAAGGTAACAATGTTTAAAATCAGATTTATGTAAATATTTATCATCTGTATTACAATTATCTCATTTTCCTTTTCTTCTTTTTCATTGTTCCATTAGTGGAAAAATGTTTACATTATTCAACTAGAGTAATAATGGCTTACTTTGTTCAATGTTTTTAATGTCTCAATGCCACTTGTATGTGAGACAAAAATACAAAAATAATTTAATAAATAATAATAAATTTATTATAACGTACAAATTTTTAGATTTAAATATTAATTTTAAAAACATAACTAGGTATCAACATTATTTAAAAAAAAGTTAATTTTGTATAATTATGCCCAAAATAGAATCACGTACGAGTTTTATTATATTCATATTTTAATATATTTTAGAGCAAGTGTGAATTTTTGAAATATTCTTTAGCTTTCCGTCGAAGGTATCTTTCCCTCTTCTTCTTTTTTTCTTCTTCATATAACTCTAAGTTGTTTTTAATTTTTTGTCGTCTTCGTCTTTCGCATTCCCGTTTTTTTCGTTTACGTTTTTGAGCCTCATCTTCGTCTTCAGATAACACTTGCTCGTACGATACAAATGCTAGTTCGTCTGAATCGGCGGTACAAGTAATTACTAAAAAAATATTTTAAATTAACAAAATAACACATGTGTAAAGTTTTAACAGTTTTATAATTTAATAGTTTGCACTTTTAAACTGAATAAAAGTATTCAGTTTTACATTACCCGCTAAACTATATGAAAAAAAAATGCTAAATAATAGTTTTACAAAATAAAAATTAATATATTTTATAATATTATAAAAGTTATAAAATAAATATATGTATGTATAATAGAATACCTACAGGTAATAAACTATAATAAATAGGTTTTGTACTAACGCTATAGGGGCATCTCATGTAAAGCAGACAACGAAAAAACTTAAAATTCTGAAATTCGTTCACAAGGTTATGGGCTCCTACAGAATTTACTTAATATGAAGTACTGATTTTTCAAATAAATAGTACATTAACTAAGGCGGAACAAGCGCCTTTTTAAAGCCGAGCTGTAGATCTGAGCGAGGCAGTCAATTTGCTTTCTCCACTATGTTGTATATATACTATTTTTTTAAGCATTTAACAATTCTGTACTTACATTAAAATTATTGAATTTGCGAAATTTTGTCAAGTTTGACGTTTGACATATGTTATATTATAGGTTATGTACTTAAATTTATTCTATAGTGACCTGTAAATTTAGTTTTTATTTGCTGGATTTGACCTAAATGCGATATATAGAACTACTATTCCTTTGTAATTTTAATGTATTTTCATTATTGTACGGCGGTGTATAATAATTTGAGTGTTATAATACAAACATACGCTTGAAAAAAACCAAATTTACATTAAAATATTTTATTATAAATATATATATTTATTTTTAATTATGAAATTGTAGAAAACCGTAAACCATATTTTTTTAACTTTGACCATTTATATTTTAATTTTAAAAAATGGCTTTTAAGCTTTAAAAATAAACAATAAACGTTTCAAAATGTGATCTACATTAGTTTCAAAAATATAAGCTAGCGCCAGGTACAACGTGGTGACACGGATATACTTTAATTTATCTATATTCTAAACTAATGAAGATCTGATTTTAAAACTTTTATTGTATTGTATACTCAATAAACTTTTAATCTTTAAGCTATATTTTAAAATTAAAACATTGGCGAAGTTATTAAAATTCTGATTTAAAATGTTCACTTCTGTTTTACAAGAACAAAATCAAATTTTGAATTTGATTTCATAATTAAAAAGAACAGTCATTTTTTGATAAAAACTTCTATGTTTAATATTGCACTGTAAATTTGTTTAATTCTAAAAACTGCCTGCCATTTTTTTTACTTTATAGCAATATTAAAGTCAATTCTTTAAAAGAAAGGAATATTTCAATTCTTTAAAGCCTATAGGCCTATAGGAATACAAAAAAATGTGTTTTTATATATTCATACCTTCTAGAAGAACAGTTGGGCCAAATTTAATCGCATATGAAAATCTTTTTTTTTATTGTCCGCTTTACATGAAATGCCTGTATATCTAGTTTTACACAATAAATGCAAAATGCTGTTTCCATATGAAATAATAATATTAACTAAACAATTTTGTGCTATTTTTATATTGAATTTTGTTTAATAATAGAATAATAATATGTATGATGTGATATAAAAAGAGTCGGAAAAAAGACTACACTTTTCAGCTATCTATATCTCGTCAAAAGGACGATTGTAGATGACCGAAAAAGCGGGGGATCGAACTTCGAAGTTGTAGTGTGATATAATGTATATTTTTAGGACAGACATTTTAAATTTTTATCAGAATAAATACTACATATTAAGTAAATACTAACATATAGCACGGTTTTGATATTTCAATCGTCGGCGGTTTTTTTATTTCACATAATTTTAAATTGAAACAAATTTTTAAATAGATAATTGTAAATCCCACAAGAAATTGTAATAAAATAAAAGGCTTCTTTTTAAAATTTTAGATTAAGACCTGAATTTATAGGGGAGGCTTTTTGTACACATTTTTCTTACTATTATGTTAAAGTTTTTTTATTGCTAAACAATGTTACAAAAATTTTATGTATGAAATTAAAAATGTATATATATATACAAAATATATATATATATAAAATAAAAAAAAAATTATTTGTATAGAAACGATCTCTAAAAATAATAAAGTATTCAGTAGATAAAATAATGATTAAAATGAACAAAACAATAGTATATTAAAGAACTAAGACGTCATAAGACGTCATTTTGTCAAAAGGTCTTATGAAATGAGTTCTTTATCCTATTTTATCTATTTTGCAAAAATTTTATAAAAAAAATAATTTTATACCTTATATTTAATTTGGTGGAATTTTACTTTTGATAGTTGGTATCACAGTCATTGGTTTAAAGGGTTAATGTCAAAATCGATTCGCTATGGCGTCCTTAATTTACTTATTTACAACAAGTGGCTGTTAATGTTAAAGAAGAAAAAAAGGATTTTCTTTGGTGTTAAACAAAATTTATTGCCAGAAAAGTATTTGAAAAATTATAAAAATATTATAACCAATATGCAAAATATTATTTTACTCGTATGCTGTTTAAAGTATCCAACCTATAAAATCAAAATTTTGGGTGGGGTAAAGTACCTTATTACAGCACCGAAAGCGGTGTAACAGACATTATGAACGCAAAATAGATAAAATTTGAATATTCACTAGAAAAGTTATCGTTTACACCTTAACCAAAGTTATATGCTCACCATTGCTAACTTTGTTATTATTGGAGCTACAAAGTTGGTTAAATTAGCAAGTTAGTGGCATAATTTTTTTTTAATTAAAATGGCAAAAACAGAAAAACAATTGCACTAAGTGTTTCCGAAATATTCTTTAAGATAAAAAATACCGCGTATATTTTACAAATTTGAAAAACAATTATTATTCTTAACAACCCTCAACTTATAAATAAACAATTAATAAGCACTATTTTTCAGCTTAGGGTGATTAGGGTATTTGTGCTTTTTTATTTTAAATTAAATTGTCCTTTAAAATATGTAAAATTATTCAGGGTGTCCTATTGAATTTTTTTTTCTTGTAAATATTTCAAAAACCGGCTTTGAATTGTTTTTCTGTTTTTACCATTTTAAAATGCCACCAAGTTGACAATTTTACCAATTGTAGCTCCAATAGGAAGTTTAGTTAACTAATAGAAATGGTGAGAACTTTGGACACGATGTATAAATTATAATATACTGTAATATTTCTTAATATCTTAATTTGCTCTTAAATTAGTTTTAGGTATCACTTTTCCATTTGCTCGATAAAAGAAATATCAATATTGCTGTGCATTCTATGAATATGCCTTAAATAATGGGCCTTCTGTTTGGCCTTATAAGAGCAAAATTGACATGGAAATCTTGGTTCCTTTCCGCACTCCCACTTCATATGCTTTTTTAAAGAACTTTTTAACTTATAACCTCTCCCGCAATCGGGACAAAAGAAATTTTCTTCTTCATTTTTCATTTGGAATCTCGTTCTCTGTGGAAGCTCTGCGTTCTTTAATCTTTCAGGTAAATTGTGTTTTTCGAAAAAGAAGTGGTCTAAAATTAGTCAAATTAATTAATAAAAAAATTGTTTATCCACCACCACCATGTTGTTAGCTTTAAGTATGAAAACATTTTTTTTAAATTTATTATAAGTTGGTTGGGTATGCAAAAGCCATATTTTAATTTATAATTATTTTAATAATATTTAGGTACATTAAATAAATATTTTGTTACAAGAAAATGTGTGACGTTTAAGATTTTCCTTTCTTTTTGACTTGTAGTTACATCCTTGGTTCGAACAAACAAATTGAGGTTCCTTTCCACATTCCTGCCTTTTGTGTTTTGATAAATTTGAATATATACTGTACTTTCTTCCACATTTTTCACAAGAGAATTGTTTAAACTCTAAAATTAATTAACACAGATTGGTATTAATTATAAATTTTAGGCAATACACATGCAATAAAAACATTATATTTAATACTTATAATTTTATATTTATTTGGTATTATATTCTCTACTCTAAAAAAATGTCATGTACTTATACGGCAATTTAAGGTGTGATTCTATGTCTAAAAGGCTTGATTAAATTAAAACAATAATGTTTAAGTTATTTTGATTTTAATAACAGTATGCTACAATTTAAACTACATAAAAATATTAACATACTTTTATACAATTGGAATGACTGTTTTACTTAAAAAATTAAAACAAATATGATACAAGTATGTTTACAAAAGTAGGTTTTCTTTTAAGAGTAACACTTGGTATATACCACAGACCACAGGTATAATTAATTTAATAGATTTATGAGTCGATTGTAATCGAGTGGTGTCAAATTATACTATCCAGGTGGCCGAAATGGGTTCATTTCGGGCCATGTTGTAGTTGAATGGATTCCTCAATAAGTTTAGGATTAATTAATTAATAATTACTTAAAGATCAAGGTCGTTCATATTATGAAAGAAATAAACACTGATTGTTCGGTAATTTTGTATATTGACTGTACCGCAAGCTCCAGTCTCATTGAAAAAATATAAGTTGCGATGATTTCACCGCTGAAGACCACACTAAATGTGGATGTAATTAAGTATTTTGTAGCTTTGCATCATGCATAGTGTAAGTTGTGTGAAACAACATTACGAATGCGTTTTGTCCAAATTATATAATTTTCAAGAAACACAAAAGTCTGGTGCGAAGTAACTGATATATTTGGAGAAGCATTCAAAATGCCAGTAAATTAAAATACTTATCCCTTAATAATTTCAAAAATATAAAAAAAGATTATCTGAAGCGTACAAAACTCAATCTGTTCGAAAATAACAGAGACTTCAGCTGTGTATTTCAAATAGTGAAACTATTTAAAAAAAGTCTAATTAATGTATTTTTTATTAAAATTTGCTTTGCTTCGCTGACTCCATACATTTTATTTACTTATTTAATTTCAGAATAAAGCTCCCAGTACTTTTCTGGTAATTTTATTGTACTGTGTGATCAGGCAAAACAAGCGTAGAAAAGGACAAAACGCACTTTAAATGTCCAGGAAAGTACTACATAGGACTAGAAGCGTTTAGTGTGCCTTATTTTCTCAAAAGTTGCCTTTATAGACAAAACGAATTTTGGAAATCTGCTCACCATTTGGTCTATTATGTGAACCATTAAAATCATATATTTCGCTAATTGAAGACCGGTTTTCAAAATAATTTTTAGACGATACGAAAGCATTTGTCTTGTGTAATCCTATTCATCATTATAATTTTAATAATATTCCAAACATTACTGAACCTGAATAATATTATCAAAAATGACAGCACATTTTGTACGTTATTCCCAGATCTATCCCTGAAAGATCCATCAGTCTTAAAAAAAAAACCCTATATAAGGTTGATTCTACAAAAGTTGGGCAACTTTTAACCTCATTTTGTTTATAAAGTTTTCGGAGAAAATTAAACAGTATTTTGTTATGAGAACATAGATAATATAATAAATATACTGTTCCAGACCGGGACAGTCACTTTTTCTGAAATATCTGTGTTTTCTAAATTTGAATGCCAGGGAAGTGACGAGTATACCAGGGTAATAATTAAATACATAATTTATTGAAAAATATAAGATTTATTGCAGATTTGGGCATATTATACATTAAATATTTTAAAATCAAATAGGTAATACCACACATCAGTGGCGGCTGGTGGATTTTGGGTATACCGATATCTAAATTATTAGATATGGGACCCACACCAAATTTATATGAGTTTATACATGACATTAAATAAACAAGTTCTGCGCAAGCAGAATTTAAATTGAAGTTTTCGAAAAAAAAAAACGAAACAACGAACATGGAACTGACGACACGGTACTGATGAATGGGATACAAATTTGAGATTATAATTCGGAATTAAGTATTTTACTGATATTTTTTATTAGTGGATGCTTCTTATCAACAAATCACATATAGCTTTATATAAATTACAATGAAATATATATACGTAAGAAAATAACTACTCACCATGGTACTGAAATTTTGACTGGAACTATTCGTGCATTCACCACAACTTCGCCGCTTGCATTGTTTTCAAGATAACTGTCGTGCAAAGGGCGGGCTCTGTAGGTAATTTTTAACCAACACTTGAGTTAAATCGAGGACTTGACGTTTAAACTTCAATATTTCGCAGAAACTTCAATATTTCGCAGAAATTTTGAATTTTAACACAGAACTGACAGGTAAAAGTAGGCACAAAGATTATCAATTTTTTAAAAATTGCTATTATTCGAATCTATGATAAAGTATGAAAACTACATTATTTAATGTTTTATAGTTTGTAGTGAAATTGAAAAATTTAAGATAAATTGAATATATTTTAAAATAAAACCACTCAAATATTTGATTCAGGAGTTGTGACACGCCAAGGTACTGATGTTTTGAATATTTATTATGTTTTTCTACAAACGTGCTTTTCATAAAATACCTACATTAAAATTGGGTGGACAAGTTAAAAAAAAACCTGGATCTTTTGTAATATACTAAAATATTTACAAAAAATATTAAAATTCCTACTCTATTGACTGATGACATCAAATTGTCCTACTTTTGTAGAATCATCCATATTTTAAAACCGCAAAACATTTTTGACAGTTTCATTTTAAACTTAAAACTAAAAAAAATAATTTATATGCCACAAATAAAACGACTAGTTAATTTTACAAACTTCTAAAAAAATTTTAAATTAAAGTTTGCAAATTTTCAATACTATTAAAATTTTCAAAATTTATGAATTTTAAAATCCCCATTTTTTTAAATTTTCAATTTTTTTATGAAAACCTTTATTAATAGTACAATTTCTTTCTTTAAACATTTTGGGTAATTCCACGCCAAGTCAGCCAGCTGTTGAACCCTCAGATTTTGATGACACTTGGTGAGTTTGTTGATGTTGACAAATAAAAAGGCCCATATTTTTTGTTGCAAAATTCGAATTTTGGGCGAGTTTCAAAAAATCTGAGGGGTCAACGGTATTAATTTAAAATGGATGATAATCGATGATTATGTCAACAGTTTTATTTCCAAAATATTTAGTAGAATATGGTCCCCCAAATCTAAACAACCGTTTCTGCATAGTGCCATTAGGAACAAATACATAACAAAAATTGTTTTACGTAGAGTTATAATCTACTTTTTTTTCGGTCCGCATGACGTACATGGTGTTGAACTAAGTTTGATTTTAGTTTACATTTATAACTGCAACCTTGGAATTGGCAAGCAAATAATGCTGGTTTTCCACATTCATATTTTATATGTCTATTTAGTGAACGGGAATGTTTATATAATTTGCTGCAAGTAGGGCATTGATACTGCGCAGGACCTAAAAATATAACATATTAATTATGTATAACAATTGTTTTATCCCGATCAACTTATTGCTATAATTACTTAAAAATTAAATAAAAATGCATAAATTAAGTATTGAGAATATTTATTTTAGTAATAATATTATTATTGACAATACAACAATATTTAATGCGGATGTTTTAATCTTAAATGCCGGTTGAATACATGCTTTCTTTTTGCCTTAAAATCACATATAGTGCATATATACTTGGGCATTTGGCCACACTCGTATCTTACGTGGTTATAAAGGGAAGACGAATGTTTATAATATTTATTGCAAGTTGAGCAAACATACTGGGAATCTGAAAAACAAAATAAATTAATTTTACATCTTGCCGGGAGCGAATTCTTTAGTTGACCTTAGTTAAATAAGGCCTTTTTACTATTGTTTATGACTATACTACGCAATATTGTTATTACATTTTAGTTACACACTACTTAAAAAAAGATATACCGCTATTATTTATTAAAATATTGACACCTTTGGTGGCATGTGACTATCCATACAATAGACATTACACTGAAAAAATAAGCTGTTGAAACAACAAAAAAAAAATTAATTCAACTCTTTATGCACTTTAAATACAAGCAATGGATTTTGAACGTTTACTTAACCATCTAAAAATGTCAAATTGTATTGTTTATTGAACAACAAATATTAGTCAAATGAACAAAATGAGAATATTGGTTCTTAAACATTCTTGATATGTCGGAGTAATATTTCAAAAATGGTTGTGCTAACATTTTTAACATGTTAAGGTAAATTTCTTGAAATGTCCAGGTAACCTTTTAAGCATATTTACTTAACACCAATAAAATGTTAAATTAAAATAATTTGCGCTAATGTTGGGTTAATTAAAATATGGAATTAATATAAAGAGAAAGAATTGAACCTTCCCTCGTCAGAGTTTTTGTTTTGAGTGCGTTCCACCTACTTCAAATACCTACCGACAGACAGCTGATTCGACCTATATTTGGGGTCTTATCAGTCGCTGATAATCAGTTTCACTGGGCACACACCGAAAACAAACGGCTACCTGAGCTGATATACTCCTATCAAAAGCCAACTGAGGCGAGATGTAAGAACATCACGTGATCAACACCGTCTAATTACGTGGCGTGGGCGTTCGAAGCGCCCTTAACAAATTTTAAAGTACCATTTACAATTTCTTAAATGAACAAATTTAATGTTTTGGATTTAAAGAGCAACTAAACGTTAATTTAATAGTTTTTTTTAGGTAATCCTAAAAATTTCAGTATTTGATTCAACTAATTCCAGCTATTAAATCAAAATAGGATAAACATTTTAATTCAAAAAATTAGTTTAGTGTTAGGAAGCAAATCGCAAAGGTTCAATAATTAATTTTGCCGCGAGATAAATATCACAAAAAAAATTAAAAAATTAAGACGAAATTGTATGCTCCTCCTTTTATGGTTTTTTATACTTACATAAATTATTTGCATGCTATATATTTTTTTAAATATTTTTGAGCTGCTGACTTTTTTTCAATATACATATAAATTTCATGTTAAAAGGCTTCTAACTACGCAACTTTTCTCTAATTTTTGACTAATTCATTTTTAGAGAGTAGCTTTTCATGTTAAAAAATATCAATAGAAGTATACACATTGTGTGTTTGTTTTTATGAGTAATTACTCTCTAAAAATGAATTGATCAAAATTGTCAAAAAAGCAGCCACTAATAATTCTCGCCAATGGCAATTTGTATTCCAAACATTTAGCAGTCAATTTCCATGTAAAATTGTTCCCTGTATCCGATAATGTCGTCAAAAGTTATAAAAGTAGAACAGTTTTTGAGATATAGTCAATTTTTATAGTCAATATAATATGAATTTACTATATCTCAAAAACTGCTCCAATTTCATAATTTTTGAAGGTATTTTCGGATTTAGGGCACAATTTTACATACGAATTTGTAGTAAATGTTGGGGATACCATGGTTAACCATGGTTAAAGTGAAAAAGCAGTTGGGGTAATTAGTCATTTTTAATTAATTAATTTTTAGAGAGTAAGGCTAGTTTTTACTTTCAGAAATGGTCACCAAAGTTGGTGACATGTATACATGTATACATGTACATCCTTACGTAAGGATTATTCAAAATTTAACTATTTAATTAGTAAAAAGTAACTATCTATAGGTAGTTAAATTTTGATTAATTAATAATTAAATGTCTTTCTTGTATATGAGAGTAGAATAAGGTAAAACAAATAACATTTAAATTGTATAAACACTTTATTTAACCTTTCATTTGTCAAATACATTTAAATAAAAAAAAATGTTACCATTTTTTTACTTCAGAAAATATTTTATTTAAATCTGCAACTGACCCACATTCCTTGTGACTAATTAAATGAGGTTTGAAATATTCCTTTCTTTTAAACATTTTCAAGCACGAATTGCATTGATACAATTTCTTATTTTGACAATCCCTCGACATATGAACCCTCAATGAATTTTTGCTTTTGTACATTTTACCACATTTGATACAGGAATAGCCAGGTCCTAAAATAAATACGGTAAATTTTTTTGTAAATAATACTCACAAAACGAAAATTTTTAATACAAGGTATTTAATAAAAAATATATAGTAAGGATAATAAATTATTTTATTTAAATTAGAATTCCTAAGTAAACATATCACAAAATCATTGGTTGTGATGGCGATCAAGATGCTTTTGTAGACTATATTTTCTAGTATACTTTTTAAGACAAACGTTGCAAGTAAACTGATGTTTGTTCACGCACTCAAAATTAATATGCCTGTTTAATACACAATTTTGCTTATATTTTTTCCCGCACCTAGGACATTCGTATCCCCCTAAAATAAATTTGTTTTATTAATAATATATAGTTATTTATTATTTTAAACACTATAAGGTAATACTAAATTCCCATAATTTAAATTAAATAATTGTTTTTGAAATTTTTATTAAAATAATGTTCCGTGATTTAATTTACATTTTATAATTTTAAACACAAAAAACTGCCGAGTAGGCCTTATTTTCATTTTTGGTGTAAACCGCAGTCAGATCTAAGCAGCATTTGGATTTTTAAGAGGGGGAAAATAATTCGACAAGGAAGATTTCAGTCGCCCACTTACTGGAGCACTTTATAAACTGGGTGTTAAACTACGATATGCATTTTTTAAACGCATCGCATTATAATTTATTTAATTTATTTTAAAAATTATTTAGATACTTAAAATAAATCCTAGCCACTTATAATAGTAAATTATTATTTGAGTCAAATGTGTTAAATCATTATTTTTTCTGCGTTTAACTAAAAGATGTATTCTTATAAAAAAGTTTAAACATAAAACAATTTTCTTAAAATGAAACTAAGCATTATTTTATTTTATTGTTTTGCGTTTACTTTTCGCGTGAAAATACGGTATACAGGGTGGCCCAAGTATTCTTCTATGTATGGGTAAATAAGTGCTACAATTTTGGTTAAGCTAGAGAAAAGTTGCGTAATTACAAGTCTATTAAAATTGTAAATAAAAAAAAAACTGGAAAAAATCAGCGGTTCTTAAATAATTTAAAAATATACTAAAAAAGTTGACATTTATCTAATTTTCCATCCAATTTGGTATTTTTATCGCTTACTAGATTTTGAGTTAGCAACACCCTGTTGTTTTGTATTTCATATGGCCGCCATATTGTAATTTTACTTGATTATATAAAAAATAAAGAGATTCAACGATGGTTCAAACTAACTACATAATTTATTACGAAGGCGTAGAAGGGCCAACAACAATTTTCAGCTAAAAACCTTATTTTGTTTCAATAATGGCCGCCATAAATTACAAAGGCCTAGAAGGGCCAACCACATATTTCAGAGGTTTCATCCAAACCAACTTTGTTTGTTGCAATCTCCATCACAATAATTGTAGCTTCATTCTACAATTGCAGCTTTATTCTACAATTGTATCTTCATTTTACAAATGTAGTTAAGTTTAATTTTGTTCAAATGTTGTGAGAAATGCTGGTATATTTTTCAATTTAAAAATTTAATTTTAATAGGCAACCTTTTTATTGATATAACTGACTGGGATATTACATACAAAAATATTAAAACTTAAACAATATTTTAAACAAATGTAATTTTTTTACTAACAATAAGGCAGTCACCCATATATTTTCATTAATACAAATTTAATATAGGATCTTTTACATAAATTTATAATCCTGATTTTCTTCTTCCTTAATTTTCTGATTGATATTTCGCACTCTTTTATTTATGGATGAGATGCTGGGTACGTTTTCTTCGAAGCAAATTCCTTCAGCTAAAAGCTTGTCACGAATTTCCCAAGCGACAACATTTGGATTTTCGCGTTTATATCTGGCTATAGCATCTACCACTGTGGGAGTGGCCACTTTTGGCTTTGACCCACCTGTGGAACGCGCACTATAATTGCCTGTTTCCTTATATCTAAAATCATAAAAATACTTACTTAAACAATAAAATACATGCTTTACCATTTATTTTACAACTTGTTTTTTTTAATAATTTGGCATTTTTAATTGTAAAGTTAAAATATTTTGTGCTAAATATGTTGGTAAACTAAAAATATTCTAAGCATAATTTAGAATAGGCTTTACGAAATGTTACAAAAACACATTACTTGTAAGTAAATATTACAGCAAAATATTGCAAGAAATTTCAAAAACGTATGTTTTAGTTTGTTTTAGGTATATTTACTAGGTCATCAAATCTTAATGTTATGCCGAATTTTAAATGTAAAATATAATTTTATTAAAAATACGCTGTAAAAATGTTTTAACTGTCAACAAAATAGGTAATAGTTCAGTCAAAATAGACATTTAACTTAGAAAAAAAGTTCCCACCGATCCTACTGCAAAAAAATGTATTGAAGGTCAAAGTAAAAAATATCGGGTTTTCGCCTATTTCTCTTATAAAAGTGTAAAATAGTTCAGACAAAAGTTGTAGATGATGCAATTGGCTACAAAAGTTGTTTAAATAATTTTTTACTACACATTCCTGAGATATTGCAATTTCGAAAGTTTGAAAAGTCGTATTCTGCACTTTCTTAAAATGAAATAGTCAAAATTCTACCAGCATTGTTTACTAATAAAATAGTCATTTTCAATTTTAAATAGGTATTTTTAGCTACTGAAATAGTTAATATTTGACTAATTTAAGATAAATCACCATCTTTGACTTTTTCTGAAAGGTAAAAGTAACTAATTTCTTTAATCGTTTGCGGCCAACAACAAATTATTGTTTGAGTTAAATGCATATAGGCTCCATGGTTAAATGGTCCATAAAAACAAACAGTTTAGCTTAAAATAGCGACACAAAAAATATATTTAACTTTAAAATATCATTAACAATATTTATAGGCAAATAGAACTGACTTTCATAAAAAGTGACTGCGCATTGTTTATGATTTATGAGTCAGAACTTTTTTAAATTTTAATCTACTAATTTGACTATTTCATTTAGTAGAATTTGACTAATTATTAGTGACTGCTTTTTCGCTTTGACAATTATTTAAATATGAATTATAATTAGTTATTTTTGACTAATTCATTTTAAGAAAGCATAATATACACACATTGCCGCCCCACCTATAACGATCTTATGTTTTTAAAAGAATTCGAAGATCATGAGCGCTTTTTGTTTTAGTTTTATTTAATTGTGAAATTAACTTTTAATTTTATTTTTTCATCTTCCAAAAATTTGCAATTCAATTAAAAGAAAATTGACATTACATGGAAGTAAATTTGATTTTTATAGAACCATTCACATCAGAATTAAAATTGCTGTAGTGACAACTTTATAATATACCTATTTAAATTTAAATGTTAAATTTTGGGATTTTTTAAAGTATATATTAAAAAGTAAAAAACAAAAACTCTAATTTGACAAACGATGCACCAAACACATAATTGGTTTTTCGGAAACGGCTCCAACGATTTGGATAAAATTATGTATTTAGATAAAGTTCTACTTTTCCAGTTCTCGTTCTTGCAATATTTACTGAAAAGTATTCTTGTAATATTTCTTTGAACGCTTCATATTGTTTTACATTTTTCAATGACCCAAATATTAAAAATAAATGTGTTCAAGTAAATTTGTATTGCATCAAAGGCATATTAAAATATGTAGCTGGTTTAAAAACAAGAATTTTTTTTATTAAACATTTGATTTTGATATCTTACCTAGACACTACTTTTGATACAAATCCATGGGATACCTTAAGTTGTTTTGATATATCAACGATTCGGACACCACTTAGTGCCAATTCTACCACTTTTTGCCGAATAGAGTTAGGAAGAGCCCTACCATTTACAAACACTCCTCCATACTGATTAACAAAACTAGTACCTAAAAATTAAGAAAATTTAGATAAAAATATAAAACAAATACCCTAATAACCCTAATACACTTCTATAACCCCAATAAATAGGGTAATGTTTTTTTATATTTTTACAAATGTATATAGTAAAACATAGTAAAAATGTACATTAAACCTAAGCAGGATAAAATTGTTATAAAAATACAAAACAATAATTATTTGCAATGTTCTTTTTTAAATAAAAAAATCATTTTTAGTTAATAATTAACATTTTTATTGACAACACATAAACAAATAAACAAAAATAAAATTAATGTAAATATTACTTAATTAAAATTATAAATTGAAACCCCAAGTATATTGTAATCCATGGCGATAAGCGGAAGTTTAAAAATAGTTCAAATATTCAAAAAATGTTAATGCATTTTTTAAACAAACCATTATAAAAAATAAACTTTATTTCAAGATAACCCCACGTTTTCCAAAACATTTTTATGGCTATGTCTTATATGCTTATTTAATGTGTATTTTTGATAATAACTTTTACCACAAAACAAACAGTTGAAGGAAGGCGATTTTCCACATTCATAATTAAGATGGCTTCTTAAATGATAACTGTATTTATAAGTTTTTTGGCAAATCGGGCAAGCGTATCTTCCAATAACTTTTGATTGAGGGGTGGACGAAACTTCTAAAAAAGTGTAACATTATTGTATGAATGTATACTTATTAACAAACCTATTTGGTGAAAAATTAAAAAAAAGGCTATTTAAAATATTTAGTAGTTACTATAACATTTAGGAATATTTATATATGGTAAAAAAGGGTTTCTTCTTATTGATACATCAAAGCAAGAATAATATCTTAAAAATGGGTGCCCTTGAATAAATTTATAATTTTTAAAAGCTGATCTCTTTAAGCTTGTAAAGGTCCATTCCACAAAATACTACAATAATAGTGTTCAAGTAAATTTTACAAGAAAATAACGCAACAACGAGAACTAAGTATGAGAGAGGCGTCCATATCATTAACAAGGGATAAAGAGCAATAAAACATAAAAAAGATTACACAATTAAAAAAATGTGCTTTAAAAGAATACCAAATAAAAAAAGTGCTTCAAATTTCTTACATTTAAACCAGAAATCCCGGCACTAACTCTATTTGGTTGGGTAGGGTTAAGACGTGAGAAATAACGGTTGTCAGGATTTCGACTGTAATTTTATAATAAATAAATAAATAATAAAATAAACTAGGACATACGTATTCCAAGGCATCTCTGACTTAAATTTCTTGCAATACTTTTTTGAAATATGTACTTTTAATTTATTTTTAAAACATTTTATGAATTGTTAACAACTAATCGCAGTTTTCTACATTTTTCTTAAGAGACCATCTTAGAAAAAATAATACTTTCTTTTAAGAGCATTCAGGTATCATAAGATATCACTTTTGCTTTGGGGTATATTTAATTTAGTTTGCAATAAAAGTAACTTTATTCGACACCCACTTCATTTCTTAACTTTAAGCGGGTGGCAAAATTTTACTTCGCCCACTAGTGAGCGAAATAGCATTTCGGACACAGACTAAAGTTAGTTTTATATTAAAATTGGAAAAAAATGAGGTTAATCCTAGACAGCAGAAAAATTTTAAATAAAATTGGCTTTAAATTGTGTGCGACCATTTGTCAAAAGAGGAGATTTCACTCTCGAGGAATCTGCTATTTCTCCAACTAATCGCACAATATACCATTTTTGCATTTTAAAAAATGTTTATATAAAAAATACGTACACACGCAATTAAAAAAAACATTTTTTTAGATGGAAAAACCCTTTTTACCGCCTATAAATAAAAAAATACACACAGAATATATGAGTAATATTTAATATCATATTATAAATTATATATTATGATGACACCCTTTTTCATGCCTATTCAACATATATTTTTGATAAAAATGTTTGCCACACCGAATACACTTGAATAAAGGAGATTTTCCACATTCATAATTAAGATGACTTCTTAAGTGGTAGCTATATTTATAAGTTGTTTGGCAAATTGGACAAGGGTATCTTCCAATACTATTTGATTGAGGGGTATGACAAATAACTAAAAAATGTGTATAAATAAAAACAATAGATAGGTATATCTTAAAGTTATTAGGCAATGACGAAAAAAAAAAAGAGTTGTTTACAATCAAAAGCGGGCATGTCGCACTACAATAGTTTTGAGAATAATGCAAAAAACTGCACAAACTTTTCCGGTGGAAAAAATTATACTTTTTAAATTAATAATGTTCTGAAAGACAATAATTTTTAATAAAGACATCCTGCAATATCTAAAGCAGCAGTTTCCTAGCATTTGTAAGAAAACCTGGCTTTGAAACAAAAGATAAATGTATATTTGTATCCTTAGTTTCAATCTTATTGGTTAATATTAGCGCTGGGTTCTTAAACCAAATATGAATTTCTTAGACCGTTTCAACATATAATAAGAAGAAAAAATGTAACTTGTCCGCTTTTGATTCTGCAAGACTCAGATATTGTTATATAAATTTTTATTTAAAATCATATCCCAAAACCACCAACATAATAGGTACATTTTTATAAATAAAACGAGTTAAAATTCCTAACTACTTTTCTATAACAGTAAAAATAAATAAACATAAATAAAATTAAAAATAACGAAAACAAATATTATATGCCTTTAAAATAAAACAATATAAGTATATAAGACTAATATCATATTTTTGTAAGTAAAATAATATTTTATATTATAAGCTATATTTTTAATATACCTACAAAATATGTATATTATACAAGGAGTAAAATATTATTGCCAAGTTATTGCAATACATTAAAATTATTTTAAATATAAAATAATAAGTAATTTAGACATTAATATAACGTTAACCAATTTTATCTATTATAATATAGCACCTAATTAGGTAATAAATTCACCAATAAAGAGTATAAGAATAAATAGTACATAAAAACTTTTTAAAAGTATAGTACAGTAAATTATTTCAATAGGATAAATTATTGATGAAATATGTACTTTAATTAATAAAATTAGATTAATTTATAACCTTTAATCAGCGAGACCAACGTTCAACATTAAATGGACGTTGCGTTCTGATTTTTCCTTATGAGTCGTTATCAATAAGGACAAATTCTTATCAATAAGAAATTTTTGTTCAATTAATCCAGGCGCATTGGCCATTTTGTATTTATATAGAACCCTACGAAAATATTTGTATGTATGCCAGTAAGTAAACTATAATTATTATAATTATTTGTCTACTCCCATACTTTAATTTGTTTATTAGACATTTCCTAACTGTACTATAATGAGATCCATTATAATACAAATTTTTCATTCAATACAGATTTTTAACCAATAGAAATGCGGATCACGAAAATATTCTGTGAATATCAACTATTGCTTTGGAAATCTGACAAATCTAATATTTATCATTTTGCTACATTATAATGATAGTCGTAGAAAAAATGTGCATGCAACTCCCATTTAATGAATTATTAAGACACTCGCACTCTAATTATAATGCTCATGTTTTAATAGCCGTCATTAAATGGTTGTTGCATAAAATACTATTATGTGTTTAGACCAAGAAGTAGGCCTTTTGCGCTGAGCTCAAAGTTTGAATTGAGCAATGCACAATTTTATATGTTAAACGTACCATTATCAAGTCCAAACAATGGAGGTACAATTAAATAACCATTTTGTTATTACATTAAACATGTATTTATTAAAGACGTAGGTAATTTAATTATCTAAAAGCAATAAACATTTAATGTATTAAAAATAATAATAAAATACCTCAACTGGAGCTGAAGTATGCCACTTATTTTTGTATTTACTGATATTCATCAGTATTAAGAATATGTAAATACCTCAGACCTATAACACTGGATGCGTAAATAGACACGATTTGTGGTTTCAAGATGTGTTTAAACAGTTGCTTGGTGTTTTGTATGGTTTTGAGTAGTTTTTTTTACGAAAACAAATTAAAATGTTGAAAAGGTTGCCTTTATGTCATGCAATCCTGTAGGCGAACAACAGGTTTTTTATTTTACTATAAATTAAATATTTGATTAGTCAATAATACATAGGTATAATTTTGTAAATACAAATTTAAATTTTATCAATCCAAAACAATTATAATACTTAAGTATTTACTTAACATATTTTCTTAGCTACACTACTGTACGATACATCTTGCAGCCAAATAACTGGATGATTTTCACGCACATAGCGCGTCCATGTTATAAGGTCTAGGGTAAATAATAAATTTATCTTAGTTTCTATATATCCTTGACATTTTTTTTGAAAAGACCAATAAAATATATTAAGTTCCTATTATATTTATATATTTTTTTAGTCAACAATGAAATTTAAATTATTAATATTATCTTTTTTGGGGCTTACTTTTAAACATTAAATATTAGTTTGTACTTTTTTGAATAAATAAAATTTTAAATATTTTCGTAAAACGTATTTAAGAAAATGCCATAATAATACTTAAAAGTTGTTTAACTATATATAGTAGTATATTATAAATATATATTATAAATTATAAATTTATATATATAATTTTAAAGCCTTAGGACAGTCAAAATTTACATTTTTTGATCAAAGTTTTAATTGCCATTTTATTTTTAATATCTTAATATTTTAAAACTTAATATTATAACTTAATATATTATTAATATATATTATACAGGGCACTAGAAAATAAATATGACGCCATTCAAGAAAAGGGGCAGTTCGTATAGTAAGCTCGACTTCAAATATTAATAATAATATAATTTTTTGATCGAAAGATCATTTATCACTCTATAGAGTAATAGTATACTTACCTAAAATATTGATAATCTAGAAAAAATTTCGGATCGCGCCACAAATAGTAAAAAATATTTTTTTTTGAGTCTCGAGTGAAAAATGTTTAGCTTTTGATGTTTTAAGAGCCCTATCTAAAGGACAGCTCAAAAAAATGTTTAAGGGGTCGATTCAAATTTTTTTAAATTTCAAAAATCGTTAATAATCGATTTTTTTAAAAAAAAATTTCCCGTTACGGTATAATTTTATAGACCAAAAAAAATAAGTTTCTGAAAGTTTTAGTTCAAAATTAAAATTTAATGCCCTAATTTTACTTTGACAGTTATATAATAAACAATGCCAAAGATAACAGAACATTCTAAACGACAAGAAATTATAAAAACAAAACAGCCTTTTGATGAAATTAATTAATTAATTAATTAATAATTAATTTGTGCTGCATAAATCCACTAAATTATTTTGTTTTAATAAATATAGCCAATTATAAATTTAGGGTCCCCAGAATTTGCCTAAACTAAACTACACCCCCAAATTTTTACGTTGTTGAATTCCGAATAAGAAAAACAAACTGTATGTCTGTTATAATCGTGTACTCTTTAAAAATGAATTAGTCAAAAATGACTAATTTAATAGTTGCTGCTTTTTCACTGGCACCATGGTTAACCATCGAATACCATGGAATCCCAAATCCCAATTCTTATGCAAAATTGTCTCCTGAATCCGAAAATGTCCTCAAAAGTTAAAAAAAAAGAAAAGTTTTTGAGATATAGTCAGTTTTCCATTTAATATGGAATTGACTATATCTTAAAAACTGCTCCACTTTCATAATTTTGACGGTATTTTCGGATTCAGGGGACAATTTTACATAAGAATGGGCTGTTAAATTTTAGGATACTATGGTATTCCATGGTTAACCATGGTACAAGTGAAAAAGCAGCCACTATTAAGTATTAAATTAGTCATTTTTGACTAATTCATTTTTAGAGAGTAACTTCTGAACAACTTGATCATTTAAGGCCATATTTCCGCCATATATTTCCAGAAGATGGTGCATAGCTATGCTAGGATGCGATGGGTGGCGCAGTAGTCAAGTTATTACTAATTAAACATTTATCCCGGCGCATTCGCCATTTTTGCAACAGGAGAAAACATTATTAATTTATTTTTTGACACAGTCAGCAATTCCCTTATTTAAACCTTATCATTTTGGGTAAAAAGTAATATTTTTTAATTCAAGGAACTGTTAGTTTTATGCTGAAAATCAGTAATATTATTGTTTAAATTATCCGAAGGATAATGATGTTTTCGAATGTGCACTCCCAAATTTCCTTTCTGTTTAGCTTTGTACGGGCAACTGGGACACTGAAACATGGGTTGTTTTCCACCACATTCAACTTGTTCGTGCCTTCTTAGGGTCGACTTCCATTTATATCTTTTGCCACAATGTTTGCAAGCAAATTGTGAGTCCTCACTGTAGCTTGCTTTAAGATATGCCTCGCTGTATCCATTTAATGTTTTCGGTTTCGGTTTGTCGTCGCTTAAATACTTTTCTAATATAGGTGGTACAATAATATTATCGAATTCAATGTATTCTAAAATAATAAAAAATAAACAAAAATTATAAAACAAAAAAAAACTTAAAAAACCTAAACATAAGGTTAGCAAAGCAAAGAAAAAATTTTAATTATTAAAATAAGAAATATTTACAAAGAAATATAATTAAATAAAAATATTATACAAATTTAAAATAATAATTAAACTCTAACCTGCTAAATTATTTTTGTTTTAACCATATTTTGTTAAAATCATTCTTAAAATTTTTCATAAAATGCATTTTTTTTTGTAATTTGGCACACCATGAGGCCACTCGGCCATTCCAAGCCCATGGACAGGACACATCAGAAACATGTCTAAATATATTCTTGTTACTTCCTTAAGTTTACTTATTTTTTCTACGAGTATTTGTGAGAAGTATTAGCCAAATTTGGCTAATACTTCTCATAAATACTCGAAGAAAAAATAAGTAAACTTAAGGAAGTAACAAGAATATATTTAGACATGTTTCTGATGTGTCCTGTCCATGGGCTTGGAATGGCCGCACTATCTTTTTTTAAACTATTTAACGAATTGTAAATTAATTTTAAGCATTATTATTAACAAAAACTGCTCTAAACTTAAAAAAGTATCCAAACCCAAGTACCGATACCAAATAGGATTTAGTGGAGAAAATTTAAAAACTAGAAGTTACAAACTTTTTCACAATTAAATTCAAAATTGAAACTAAACTAAAATTAAATAAATTAAATTAAAATAAGTATAAGTATTTAAAACTAGTTTAGTCACTAAAAATATTTATGGGGAAAAAAATTTTTTTTACACATCTTATGGAAACAAATGATTAATTGCAATTGCAATATCGATTTTAGTCAGTTGGTATAATAAATATGTAAATTTAACAAATTTGGTAAAATTCTAAAAAAAATATTGGGTATATACAAATTTTTTACCGTTTATACACGTTTTCGAAGATTTCAAGTTGAGTTGACACCGGTTAAAACAACGTATTCTGGTTAAAACAACGTATTCTGGTTAAAACAACGTGTCTTCGTTTTTTTTTTAATTGGGATCTTGTCTCATTTAAGATCTTAATTTTTTTTAGATAAACGTACGTACAAGGTGAAAGAAACTCGTCGACTTTGCTTTATTGTGCAAAAACTGGTTGGGTTTTTTAAAAGGTTTATCTTTACCTACATTTCTTACCAAGAAGATATTTTTGAATATTTGAGGTTATGTTGTCCCAAATAAAATTATCCTTCAATAATTTTTATTTTTCTTTAACATCATTTTTTTAAATACAATCCGCCATTTGGCTCAAATGTTATAAGGCAAAATATTGCATAAAATGAGCGATAAACTCATGTTAGGTATAAATAACATAGTTCATGGAGACAAATTATTTAATAGTTTAATTTTTATTTTTTATAGTTTAATTAAATTAAGCGGTTTTAGACAGTGTCGCTTGAGCTCTCGAATAAGACAGATGTTAAGCAGAGCGCTTCCATATCACTTAAAAAAAAAATAACCTAAGACAGTTTAAGCAAAGCTGCAGTGTAACCTTTTAGCGCGAAATCATTACAAATACGGATTAGTGGATACGTGATACCACCTGACAGCGAGAAACATATACTTGAAGCCAGAGTGAGACTAGGGACCAGGGGAAATCTATAGAAATCGTATAAGTATATTTGATTAATTGCATAACCTTAATCATATTTGCATCAACAATAAAAAATTAAAATTAGAAAAAAATAGCAACGAAAACAGTTAACCTAAGGAAAACCGACATGTTTTCATTTAAGTACGTTTAAATCTCCATACAAAATAAACACTTGTCATCTACAACTAATAGGTTAAAAATTAAGAAATCAAACCAAAAAGTCTGAACAGGGCTGAATCTTCCTTAAAGTCAGCTGCTTATTTTAAATAACCCGAGATCGATGGCAATATTTCGTTACTGAAGACAAGTAATGGTTTCGCACAGTGGGGTAACTAATTTGGGATAAAGGGTACCGTGATAACTGTGGTGGACATCCGCATTAAGCATACATAGGTTAAGCTGTGCTGTTTTTGTGTGCAAAAGAAAATCGTAAGGTGGGTATCAGTTGCACTCGGGGCCCGAAAGAGACAATGCGGATGGGGCCAGCTATACGCTCCTAATGTTCATGATGTTTTATGGCTGATTGTATTCAGAAAAATAACCTCTTTCGAAATATGGTGAAAAAATTCCTAGGAAAAATTATATTTATGAAAATATAACCTCAATTTTTTTGATAAAAAATGTAGGTTGAGATAAAACATTAAATGTTATCCCCTAACCAGTTTTCCCAGATGTAGAGTTTGAATCACCATGTACACAATCTTTATATGGATGGGCCCTAGGGTGGTCCTTAGCTATAGAGGTAAAAGATATACTTTTAATATTGAATTGTCCCACCCCCCCATTTTGTTATAACACAAGAGAAAAAAAATTACACAAAAATTTGAATGGCCAAGTCAACCCCTTCACGTGCCTGTGAGGGGTTGAATTTTGACAAAATCCCCAACTTTTAAGGTTTTTGCCATTTACTCCGCAAAAATCGCATATCTCAAAAAATTTTACTCATTAAAATCTTTTCGTCTATTAAAGGTCTATAAAAATTGTCTCTTGAGATTTTATCCTAGAAAGCACCATTTCGTGGAAAATTGCATTTGTGCATAATTACCACAAATTTAAGGTTTGTGTAGGAAATGGTGCTTTCTAGGATAAAATCTCAAGAGACAATTTTTATAGACCTTTAATAGACGAAAAGATTTTAATGAGTAAAATTTTTTGAGATATGCGATTTTTGCGGAGTAAATGGCAAAAACCTTAAAAATTGGGGATTTTGTCAAAATTCAACCCCTCACAGGCACGTGAAGGGGTTGAGTTGGCCATTCAAATTTTTGTGTAATTTTTTTTCTCTTGTGTTATAACAAAATGGGGGGGTGGGACAATTCAATATTAAAAGTATATCTTTTACCTCTATAGCTAAGGACCACCCTAATGGGCCCCTATTTTAATAATACATAAAACTGCCTTCCTCATATTAATACAAAATACCACATAAAATAATGTTATTGGTGCAAGTTCTTTTTAGGCAAACTCGATATTATTAGCTCTTCTGAGAGCTTTGTTCTGTTAACTTTAAAGGATTAATAAAATTTATTACGGGTATATAAATAAATCTAACCCTTATTTATCTTTGTTTTTAAGATACAACTTATTTAGTATATTTAGGTTGGTATTCGCAGTAATTCTAAATAAAAAGCTTGTCTTTTTTAAATATACATATATTTAACAAATTAAAAAATGCCATAAATAATGCATTTGGCTTATTAAATAAACTTTTTAATTATTCCTTTAAAAATACCAGTGGTTTAATAATTAGTCAATCCTTTACATTTCTGCATATGCGCTCTAAGATTATATTTATGTTTAAATTTTCGGAGACATATGATACATTGAAACTGAGGTTCTTTTCCACACTCGTAAGATAAATGTCTGTTTAATGTTTTCATATGCCGATACGTTTGACCGCAATTGTCACACACATATTTATGTTCTAAAATAAAAATATGTAAATAAATAATAAACTAAACTTACAATTTTATGTGTATTAAATACCTAAATTTAAACGAAGACCGCATAAAAAAGGGAAATTTAATTTTACCTACCGGGTACTAGAAAAATATTTTAAAGTACACATACATGTTTATTTAGTTTTAAATAGGTACACTGGGATGTTTTATTATTTTGATATACATTTTGTTAAAAAAAGTATCCGTTTTTTCTAAATATTCCTGTCTGAATGATTTATACAATCGTATTCTCCCTTAAAGTAACGCGACTTTGTTATCTAAACTAATAATTGTAAAACCCAAATAAGTATGGGGTATGAAGCCTACACGAGGAGTTAGAACTCCATGTGTACAAATGGATTCCCAAAATAAGAGGACACTTGTGTGGAGGTTAAGCAGAGTTCAGTACAAAATGTTAATCAGCGCCGCTAGTGGGTAAAAAAGAAAACCGATTCGAATAAGCAGGTAGTTTATGTCAATTCATGGGCGCCCTTACCTAGGGGCAAGAGGGGGCACTTCTGCCCCCTGTAAATCTCCAACCCAACTAATTTTAACGGCGAAATATTTAGGTAATATTACGATGTTATTAAAAAATTAACACAAATATACACTGATCGTTTTTTGAAGTGGTTCGCCAAAAAAATTATTCCACTTTGAAAGGTTGTAACTTTTGAATGGATGGACGTATCTTGTTAATTTTTTTTTTTTGTTAGAAAGGGCATTTCTTTAGCAGTAAGTGTGCACGACTGCATTCATTTGTCCTGATTTAAAATAATTTTACGGAGTGATTTGTAAAGCTTTGATTTTAACATTAAATTTATTAATGTGCAGGAGGTAAATGGGTCACCCTGTATAATTTATTTTAAGGTCATCATAGAGCCTTACGTCTTAGCGCTGCGTGCTTTTTTGGATTTTGGTCTTACGTCATTTATTTTTAAAGGTATGATTTTTTAACCATGTAAAGTACACATGAAAGTCAAAAAGTTTGATTTTAATTTTTAAAGCAATAACAATAATAATGAATAACGAATTGTAAATAAAAAATAATCAATAATGGGTAGGGCCCCCTCTACTCCTTATCACCTCCTGACATCTTTGAGGCATACTCCTGATGACATTATTGATGAGGTCACCCGGATTGGCTTCCCATTCCTGTTGAAGAGCAATTCTCAGCTCTTCAATTCCATGTGGTTCAATTTGGCGATCTAACATCCTTCTTTGAAGCGCATCCCACACGTTTTTAATGGGGTTGAGGTCCGGCGAAAGCGCCGGCCATTCCATTCTGGTGATATTTTCTTGTTGAAAAAATTCATTTACCACGTTGGCTCGATGCGGTCTTGCGTTGTCGTCCATATATACAAACTTTTCACCCATTTGATGGGACAGAGGGAGAACTATTGGTTCCAGAATTCTTTCCAAGTATCGTAAAGCATTA